CACGCATCCCGGCATCACTGGCCTTCGTGATACCTCGTCTGCGTTTGGCTCTATCCGACGGGTAGGATCGGGCATCGACTTGCCTTCAATCGATCGCAGCCAAACGTCTAGTGCCGCTGGAAACCGCAGCTTCTCCAGCCTCGGTGGGCTGGGAGGTCTGTCGTCGCTGGGTGGTCCGGCCGGATGGCCCACCAGCGCTGCCGTGGGTACTCCTACGCGGGAACGCTCGGCCTTCGCTGGTGGCTTCGGCGATCCTATCTTCGGCACGATGGGTGATTTGCAGTCCCCAAGCCTGTCGACTTTGGGCGGTGGTGGTTTGTTCAGCCCCCATGCCGGCATCTCTGGCACGGGCAGTCTGGGCCGCTCCAGCAAGTTAGGTTCTCTGTTCCCGGCCGCGATGCAGGAGCAAATGCAAGGTGACCAGGGACGATCGGATCTGGCCGCTCTGGAGGAGGCCGCTCGCCAACCCGGTAAGAATATCGACATGCCTGAGTATGAGCAGGTCCTAATGCAACAATTAGACGCCCAGCAGGACAAGCCGGGCCAGACGACTCAGCCCGCAACCACCTCAGCTTCGCAAACCCCTGTCTCTGCGGTGAACTCTATTCCTACGTCGATGGCGCCCGATGTACCCCCAACCAGCCAGACGCCTGGTCAGGCTGGAGCTGCTGGCTCTGTGCCTCCTGCCCAACAGCGGACCATGGTGATGCCGGATCGGATGCGTTGGATCTACCGCGATCCGCAGGGCAACATCCAGGGTCCTTGGACTGGACTGGAGATGCACGACTGGTTCAAGGCAGGCTTCTTTAGTCCTGACCTGCAGATCAAGAAACTCGAGGACCCCGAGTTCGAACCCCTTGCACAACTTGTGCGACGCATCGGCAACTCGCGCGAACCCTTCCTGGTGCCTCAGATCGGCATTCCCCACGGTCCCGACCCCAGCCCCGGTCCCTGGACTGGAAACACTACCGGCACGGCTCAGCCTCCGTTCCCCGGCAGTTTCCCCAGCTTTGGTACCACTTTGACCGCGGAGCAGCAGAATGCGTTGGAACGCCGGAAGCAGGAGGAGCAGTATTTGATGGCACGTCAGAAGGAACACCTCGCTCAGCAGCAAGCGCTGATGAAGCAAATGCAGTTTCAGGGTGTCCCCCACACGATGCACCCGCACCAGCTGCAGCATCACTCCAGTGCCCACAGCCTCCACAGCCAGCCCAGTTTTGGCAGCATCGCCTCGCCAGTCGGCTTCCAGCCCTCTCCCATTCAAGCCCCGATGCAGCAACCCCAGTCTGTCGCAGGCTTCTTCGACGCTGCAGGACCGGTGAGAGCCAACCCGCTGCCTAACATTGGTCCCCAGATGCTCGGCACTGAACTGGGCACCCCCCAGGATCAGCTTCCCGCCCTCCTCGACCGCTTGAACGTGAACCGTCCCGACCCTTTCGCTTTCGGCACCCCCGGCTCTTTCGCGGCTCGTCAGCCTGACAGTCTCTTTCATCAGCAACAGGTTGCCAGCATGCTCCAGGACCGTGCTCGCTTGCAACAGGAGCAGGAGCAGTTTGACAGCGCCCAGGGTGATAACCTCTTCGACCAGCAGGCACGGGAAGAACGCCTCCGCCAATTCCACGCTTTGAGAGCCCAGGAGGGTGAGCTGGGCCTCCGGACTGCCGAGGGTCTGCCCACGCACCCGGCCACGGTCCCCCAGCCGTCTGAGCAGGAGGAGGTCGAGCCGGTGGCTGAGGCTGAGGAGCCTACACTGACCTTGTCGCAGCAGGTGCAAAAGGCCGCGTCTGCTCAGCGCAAGCAGCAGGAACAGCTGGAGCAACAAGAACAGCTTGAGCGCGAGCAGCAGGAACAGCAAACTTCCGATGCGGGTGAGGCGGCCTGGACTACCAAGGGAGACAATGCTATGCCCCAGCCCTTCCCTCCGCCGCCCTCTGCCTCGCCACTCCCGGCCCCGGCTGCTCAGCGCAACCGTCAGAATGTTGCTGAGTCTCTGGCTGCCAACTCGCGTTCCCAGACCCAGACTCCCGTGGAGGCGCCGACCACTTCGATCGCGCCTTGGGCAAAGGAAGCCAATGAGGTGCCCAAGGGTCCTTCTCTGAAGGAGATTCAGGAGGCTGAGGCCCGCAGCGCAGCGCAGAAGGAAGAGTTGGCGGCTGCTGCACGCCGTGCCCAGCTGCTGGCCGAACAGGAGCGTCTCAGCCAAGTCCAGGCCCAGGCCCCTGGCCTCCCGTCGACGGCCAACTGGGCTAGCGCTGGTTCTCCTGCTACACCTACATCTTCAGGCTCAGTTTGGAACAACAAGGGTCAGGCCGCTCCTTCTGGCGCCGCTAAGAAGACTCTTGCCCAGATCCAGAAGGAAGAGGAGGCCCGTAAGCAGCGTCTGGCCGCTGCCGCCGCTGCTGCTCAGAGTGCGGCTGCCAGCCCACCGACTGCTCCGTCTTCGACCGGAAAGCGCTATGCGGATCTTGCCAGCAAGGCTCCAGCGGCGTCTCCGGTCCCTGCCAGCGCCAGCACTTCGGGTGCCTGGACGACTGTTGGAGCGGGCGGCAAGCCCAAGCCCCCGCCGGCTGCTCCCGCCGGGCCTCGCTCGACCAGCAGCGCAACTCCGGTGGCAGTTTCTCCCGTGAAGCCTAAGCCGGCGACTGTCGCGACTCCCCGGACGGTTGCTGTCGCTACGCCTCCGGCCAACCCTAACCGCGCCGTGGAGGAGTTCACCAAGTGGGCCAAGCTTGCTTTGGGCAAGGGGCTGAACAGCAACATCAATGGTAAGTCGCAGCATATGGTAGAGTTTGATCATAGCTAATGTGATATAGTGGACGATTTTGTACAGCAGTTGCTTTTCCTGCCTGCGGAGGCGGAGATCATCTCGGACTCCGTGTACGCCAACTCGCAGACGTTGGACGGCCGGCGGTTCGCCGAGGAGTTCATCCGGCGGCGTAAGCTGGCCGACAAGGGCATCGTGGACCCTGTGTCGGCTAGTGCCTTTGCGGAGAAGAACGCGGGCGGATGGAGCGAAGTGGCCAAGAAGGGATCATCGAACGCGAATCGCGAGGAGGACAATGGAAACGCAGCGTTCAAGGTGGTTGCGCCCCGCAAGAAGGGCAAGCGGTGATGCACTGCAGGATGATTACGGAGATGAGATGATTGAGATGTTTGGATTTAGAAGCGGAGCCGCGCATTGGCTATTGTGTATGTCAAATCGATGATGTAGCATAACAGCGTTTCTGGCCGAGTCAGATTTAACTTATCTGTTGCATTATCCCTTATCGGAGGGACGTAGATTAAGGTTATAACTGAAGTATGATTCTAATTATAACTATTGACTTACTTGATAGTAGTTATTGTGACTCATGAGGGGTAACATACTCCTCTTTAAATAGTGCTTATCCTATCCCCCGACCTTGCCCAGTATTCTTTCTCACTTCTCAGTTCCCTCCCCTCTCTATCTACACCATCAATCACTTCTCGTACTATCATCACCATGACCACCCCCATCCCCTACGGTGCCCCCATGCGCCAACACTTCTGCCTCGACCCCAACTGGAAGAACCTCAACCACGGCAAGTCCCATCCCATCCCATCCCCACCAACAACAACATAAATACTAAGACATCTCCAGGATCCTTCGGCACCTACCCCCTCACCATCCAATCCGCCCTCCGCGCCCACCAAACCACCGCCGAATCCCACCCCGACCTCTTCATCCGCCGCCTCTGCCCATCCCAAACCCAACACTCGCTCAACCTCCTCTCCACCCTCCTCAACGCCCCCTCCACCTCCCTCGCCTTCGTCAAGAACGCCACGACGGGAGTCAACACCGTCCTGCACAACATCCCCTTCACCTCCGATGATGTCATCATCTACTTCGACACCATCTACGGCGCGATCGAGTACGGCTTGCTCGCGCTGCAGGAACGTACCGGTGTGCAGTTGAGGAAGGTGGAGTATACCCTCCCCATTTCTCATGAGGAGATTGTGCGGAGGTTTAGGGACGTGGTTGAGACGGTTCGGAATGAGGGAAATGGGGTGAGGGTCAAGGCAGCGGTGTTTGATATGGTGGTTAGTGTTCCGGCGGTGCGGTTCCCGTTCGAGGCACTGGTCAGGGAGTGTAAAGAGTTGGGCGTGTTGAGTGTGGTTGATGGTGCGCATGGAGTGGGCATGCTAGAGGTGGATTTGGGAACTCTAGGCGTGGACTTTTTCACGAGTAATTTGCATAAGTATTACATACACCCTTTCCCTTCCCTTTTACTACCCCTTTGGGGGGGTGTATATATCTATATGTGTGTGAGTGAGATACTGATACTGGGTATGTGTGTGTGTAGATGGCTCTACATCCCCCGCGGCTGCGCAGTCCTCTACGTCGCGCCGCAACACCAACATCTCATGCGCACGACTTCCCCCACCTCCTGGGGGTATATTTCCCCGTCTGCGGCGGAGGAGGCGCGCGTGAATGGCACTACTGCGGATGCGTTCAGGTATTTGTTTCAGCAGACGGCGACGAATGATGATACGCCGTATTTGTGTGTGCCGGAGGCGTTGAAGTTCCGGGAGGAGGTGTGTGGTGGGGAGATGGCCATCTATGGGTATTTGGAGAGGTTGGCGAATGAGGCGGCGGACCTTGTGGCGGGGATGTTGGGCACGGAGGTGTTGAGGGATGGGGAGGGGTTGTTGACGAGGTGTGCGATGACGAATGTGAGGTTGTTGGTTAGGGTTGGTGGTGATGGTGATGGGGATGGGGAGGAGGGAGGGTGTACGGTGGTGAAGAAGGAAGAGGTGGGAGAGGTGACGCTGTGGTTCCAGAATACGCTCCTGGATGAGTATAACACCTTTGTGCCGGTGTTTGAGTATAATGGGTGGTTGTGGACGAGGTTGTCGGCGCAGGTGTATTTGGATAAGAGTGATTTTGAGTGGTTGGGGGGTGTGCTGAAGGAGTTGTGTGGGAGGGTGGGGAAAGAAGCTCTTCAGAAAAAGTAGGTATTTAGACTACTACGTAAATGGTTGGTTGAATTATGCTTATAATGTCAGAATAAGAGAAGATTCATAGATATACAACTACGGACTGTATATGCATCTGGCAATAACCACAGGAAATAAGTTGCTGGCTCACTCGGTTGAACATGACTAAACCCAAATACTCGGCATCTACAGCTTATGTCTCGATCAGATCGGCCGTCTCGCCCTGGGTCTGCTCCGAAACAGTATTGTCCCGGGTGTCCTTGTTGGCAATCTTGCGCGCCGACCGCGCATAGAACTCGTCCAGCACCCGCTTGGGGATACGGTTGAGCAGATCCTTGGGGTAGATGCGCAGCAGGTTCCAGGCAATGTCCAGCGACTCGAAGATGCTGCGTGACTCGTACGGCGACTGGCTGATGAAGGTGCGCTCGAACTTGTCGAGGAACTCCAGGGACAGCTTGTCCTCGGAAGACAGAGCCTCCTCACCAACGACAGCTTTCATGGCGGCGGCATCACGTCCAATGGCGTACTTGGCGTACAGCTGGTTGGACACTTCAGAGTGATCCTTACGAGTACGTCCAGTACCAATGGCAGACTTCATCAGACGAGACAGGGAAGGAAGCACGTTAATCGGGGGGTAGACACCCTTGTTGTGCAGCTGACGGTCGATGAAGATCTGTCCCTCCGTAATATAACCCGTCAGATCGGGAATGGGGTGAGTGATATCTATCCTTGTTAGCTCACGAACCAACCCTCTAGGAGGATGTCATACCATCGTTGGGCATGGTCAGAATGGGAATCTGGGTGATAGATCCGTTACGGCCCTCCACACGTCCAGCACGCTCGTAAATGGTCGACAAGTCAGTGTACATGTAACCGGGGTAACCACGACGACCCGGCACTTCTTCACGGGCAGCCGAGACCTCACGAAGAGCGTCACAGTAGGCGGACAGATCAGTCATGATGACCAGGACGTGCTTCTCCAGCTGGTAAGCGTAGTACTCGGCGGTCGTCAAGGCAAGACGGGGGGTAATGATACGTTCGATCCTGGCAAAGTCAGTGATTGCGTCTATCCAAAAGGCGTAGCACATACGTAGGGTCGTTGGCCAAGTTCAGGAACAGCGTGACACGCTCCATACTGCCGTTCTCCTCAAAGTCGCGAGTGAAGAAACGGGCCGTTTCCATGTTCACACCCATGGCAGCGAAGACGATGGAGAAGTTCTCCTCGTGTCCGTCGTGGACGTCCTTGGTAGGGCGCTTCACCAGACCAGCCTGACGACAGATCTGAGCGGCGATTTCGTTGTGAGGGAGACCGGCAGCAGAGAAGATGGGGATCTTCTGTCCACGAGCAATGGAGTTCATGGTATCGATGGCAGAGATACCGGTGGAGATCATCTCCTCAGGGTACACCTGATCTTATCAGCACAGCCGCATTCAGCGCAGTCACCATATACATACACGAGAGTAGGGGTTGATAGGTTGACCGTTAATATCCAGGTAATCCTCCGCCAGGACCTTGGGACCCTTGTCGATTGCGCGACCGGAACCGTCGAAGACACGACCCAGCATGTCTTCGGACACACCCAGCTTCAAGCTGTGACCGGTGAACTCGACTTTCGTCTGGCAAGGTCAGCTGCCGATCCATAAGTGGTAGAGTTCTGGTTCAATACCCTCTTGACATCGATACCCGGAGTTCCTTCAAAGACCTAGTATGATCGCATCCCGTTAATGCTCCGCATCATAAGCCATATCACTAGCACACCACAGCTGCTACATGTTTCGTACCTGAACGACCGCCCTGTTTCCTGTACCAGGAATATCATATTAGCTATCTGAGCGTAACCGCTGTCGCATGCGATGCTGGACATACCGCGAGCTTCGAGGACCTGACCCGACCGCTCGGTTCCATCGGGGAGAGTGAGGGACACGATTTCATTGTAACGGGGGAATTTGACCTGTGAGGTATTTATGTAAGCTGGCTATCTGTATATAGGCTGATCCGTTGTTGGGAGCAGCGGCGCAACCATGCAAGTTGACGTACGTTATCAAGAACGACCAGTGGGCCGTTGATACCTCCGATGGTGTTGTAACGGATGCGAGGCTTGACGCTCGTCATCCTGGGATCAACAAAGTCGGCCATGGTGAAAGATGCAGCAGCAGCAGAAGCAGCAGGTGCGCACAGAAGGAGACCGAAAGACGGGGGAGGAAAGTTGAGGGGAGAGACAGCAGCAACAGCAGCTCCTTAGTCGAGGCCGAGTGTCGACGTATGCTTTGGCTGCTCCACGCCGCCGCACGGGCGGTGACCAGCCACGTGATGCTACACTAGAGTAGTAGTTTACCTCCTGCCGAGCTCGATACAAAGCATCATCAACCATGATGCAGAGGGTTCTGACTACACTATAAATCTATAGAGTGATTAATTCTGGTATAAGTATGGAGATATGTTATTACCGCTATACTCATAATGCTATACGCTTTGACTGACCTGGTATGGACCCACCGAGCTGGACAGCTAAAGATCAACTCCATATAAAAATGAGTTTGCTCCTTTCTCCTTCATATTCGAAGTATCAGACAGTCCGATCATAGCTTGGTGTCTCCGATCCTAAGTTGTAAGTGATGAGATGCACAGCTGTTGTAGTCTGCATCCTACCCCATACTGTTTCTCCAACGTCCACCGTCTTTGCCTGTTCCTTATCTTATCGCATGTGCTGCCGTTGGATTATATCAGCACATACACCAGCCAATCTGACGTGGCACTGATACAGTATCCGTATGTATCATTTCAGAATATTATTGTTGTAAGACTCATAACAAGAATACATAGTCTGTATATTATTGAAATTTTATTAATGTATGATCCATATTAATAGTAAGTGTGTATTATCTCAAATGCAAGTCAAGGAACAATTCCGAGTCCATTCCGAGCCAGTCTTCAAAAGCCACCGGAAGAACCATTGATCCCGGGCTAAGTTTGACAGTTTTGATTGAATTATCGCCCGCCGATTTGACTCACCAGGAACAGTTTATACCCCGCCTCCGAGATTCAACCCCTCTCCTTTCACATACCTTTCAATCCTCACAAAATCATGGCCAACTTGACCGCGGACCAGAGGCTTGCCCTCATCACCGAGAACCTCCAGGAGGTTCTCAACAAGGACATCATTGAGGCCATCCTGGCCGAGGGACGCAGCCCGAAGATCTACTGGGGTACTTACTTTTTTTTCTCCCCTCCCGCCACGAGATCCTCCCTATCAATCAAAGCGGTACAACTAACACGGTGATCTTCACAATGCGACAGGTACTAGCCCGACTGGCAAGCCTCACTGCGGATACCTGGGTACGAATTCCCCTCGAAAACAAACGTGGCCGTTTATCCACCCCCACTAACGATAATGCTCGATAGTGCCCGCCGTAAAGATCGCCCAGTTCCTCGCCGCGGGCGCGGAGATGACCATCCTGATCGCCGATCTGCACGCCAACCTGGATTCCCTCAAGTCGACCTTCGAGATCGTCGAGCACCGCGCGAAATACTATGAATACACTATCACCGCTCTGCTACAGGCCGTCGGTGTGTCGACCGAAAAGCTGCGCTTCGTTCGCGGCAGCTCTTACCAGAAGAACGCCGACTACGTGATGGACGTTTACCGTCTGTCCTCTGTGGTCTCGGAGCACGATGCGAAGCGCGCCGGTGCTGAGATCGTCAAGCAGTCCAACAATGGTCCTCTGAGTGGTCTGTTGTACCCTCTCCTGCAGGTCCTCGACGAGCAGTACCTGGATGTGGACGCTCAGTTCGGTGGTCTTGACCAGCGCAAGCTGTTCGCCGCGTCGACCGAGTGGCACCCCAAGCTTGGTTACAAGAAGGTGAGAGCATTGCCATACCCATTGCCAAATCCCGAACTCAAACTTACACATACTATTAGCGCGCGCATCTTTGCAACGCCATGGTCCCCGGTCTCTCCGGTGGCAAGATGAGCTCCAGTGAAGAAGGTAATATCCACCATTCCACATAACCCCCCCCCCCCCCCCCAAACCCCCCCCCCCCCCACCATACCCTTATCAAATACTAACACCTACCAGACAGCAAGATCGACCTCCTCGAATCCATCGACAGCATCAAGAAGAAGATCCGCAAAGCGCAGGCCGCTCCCAAGGAGATCGACAACAACGGTATCCTCGCCTTCGTCCAGTACGTCCTGCTGCCCGTGTCCGCCCTGAAGACCGGCAAGCCCGAGTTCCGCGTCCCCCGCGACCGCGATGGCCTGGAGCCTCTGGTGTACACCGACATCGAGAAGATGCACGAAGACTACAAGAACGACATTGTACGCCCCATCCCCTTTCTCCTTTATGTTTCACATCATACTAATCAAATCCATCCAGCTCTCCCCCCAAATCCTCAAGCCCGCCGTCGCCGACGCCATCGTCGAGCTTACTGCCCCCATCCGCGCCGCCTTCGACGCCAACCCCGACTGGCAGGAGGTCACGCTGAAGGCTTACCCGCCTCCGGCCCCGAAGCAGAAGAAGGAGAAGAAGCAGAAGGACAAGGGCTCTCGTCACCCTGGTGCTGCTAAGGAGCAGACTCCTAACGGAGAGCCTCCTAAGCCGGCTGAGCAATAGACTTGAAATTGCATTGCTAAAACTACTACTACTACAACGTCTTAAATAGTTATGGATTTTTTTTCCCTTCTTATTGCGTGTCTGATATACAATTGCATGTGTGAGCAGCAGCGAATTAGCTAGAATTGGACCTTTTTGAATTATTATTTTGCGCATGGTATTTTTGGTTTCTGCGTTACTACTAGTTTGGTGGTATTATTTACTACGCTTCTGTAATTGCTGGCAAGGGTATAGAACGCATCGATTTGGGAATTACTTTCTACTTAGAATACTGTGTCGGTGTCATTACCTACCCGGTATAATCGCAGACGATAATGTCGAGAATAACTCACAAAGGGTATAAAGGTAGAAAGCAATTTCCATAATGATAATAGACCCATCCTCATTAATAATTTTAAGCTAATGTCATCACAATCCGGCCGTCATGAGAAATAATAAATCAAATCGTAATCATACATGTTAAGAAGCGAATGAGGAAGACCACCACCACACTGAGACAATCACATTTCGACCGTAAGATATGCGCCGACCGCCATGATATGACCAGACATGTTAAGGTATCGTAGAGAAGCTAACAATAGTAAAGAAAAAAGAGAAGGAGATAGAGAAAGGGCGAGAAGGCTAGCATTCTAGTCCACCTTGGCGAGAGCCAGTTTCTTTGGTGTGGTTAGGTTGTTGGACAAGCGGACGTTAGTCTTCTTGTTTTTGGTCTGCTTCTTGAGCTTCTTGCGCGCAACCATTACCGGAACGGATGAGTGCATGACCAGGTAGTTGGAGAAGGAACCGAGAAGAACGCTGTGAGAGACGTCATGTCAGTCAGTGTCTGTTGGTGTCATTTTGTAGGTGGGTGGAAAGTTACCCCTTGAGTGCGCTGCGGCCTCTGGCTCCGACGATGACCAAGGTGGGATCAAGTCCATCGATCTAAATCAGTTAGTAATGTAAGAACGAAGAGTGAGGAGGACACGTACAGCTTCAGTGATCATGTGTTTTGGGCTCTTGCAGTGAATTGCCTCGACGGCTACGCGAACTTGGAGCAATGTCTTGCGCAGGAGCCGAACACAGGTCTGAGAGATAACCTCGACAGCATGGACACGTTCCGACTCCGCCTTGGAAATGCCGCGAGCATCCACAGAGCTCGGCTTGCTGTCCGTACCCAGGCGACCGAACAATGCGCGAGGAAGATGAGAATTGGAATCGTTCTGCGCCTTTTCAGCAGTCTCTGCGGTCTGTGACCCAACGACGGCCGCCGCATCCTGAATAGCTTTGGCGCCATCGCCGATCTGCACTGAAGCCGGCGTGGCAGTCTCATCATGCATAGCGCAGACAGCGAACATGGTGTCACCGTCCCGGAGAATAGTTCCTATGGTCCACTCCAGCGCATACACAGACTCCTCGCTCAAATCAGTAGCGACAAGGTATTTGCGTTGCCGTCGGCGGCTGCTCTCGGTCTCTTCCTGTGCCTCGGCGTAGTCTCCGCGAATGATCGTCCGGATGGACCGATGTTGGACTGTGTTGTCGATCGAAGACATCTGGATACCCAATTTCTGGGCTCGCTTGATATCGGACAGCTCTGCCTCATCTTCGGATCCAAACGGAGTATTGGTGGCCGAGGCCGAGTCGAAGCTGGTCCGTGGATGAACATCAGGCTTCTTCAGCACAGGTCCTTGTTTCGCTGAATGTATCAATTCCGGCTTATCCGCCGCATCGGGATTTGGACGGAATTCAGGTGCAGTCTTAGTAGTAGTGAGCGGCTTTGGTCCAGGATTAGCGGGAATGTCCTGCTCGACGGCCTTTTTCCGGCCACGCTTGACGTCTGAATCGTCCTCATGAACAGCGTCTTCGTCGCTAGAGGTGGATTCGTCGGCATCCTCGTCACTGGTCTCAATTGGGTTGTTTTCGCTGTCAAAACGATCCTTCTCCAGTCGCTCCTCGCCCGGAGCCGACGATTTGGCTTCAGGCTCGGAAGACCCTGGGCGGGAATCCGGATTAGTAGGTTCCTTAGTCGCAGGCACCATTGGGCTGGTCTCCTTTTTACTGGCTACCACAGGTGGTTTCACCGGATCGGCGACTGGTCCACGCGTATTGGGGTTTAGCCAGCGGCGCTTAGGAGAGCTAGAGCGAGCCGGTCGGAGAGAGGAGACTCGAGAGTCGAGAGAAGTTCCGCGCGTAGCATTGCTGCGGCTACTGCTAGAGTCCCTGCCTCTGACGAAACTTGGGAACCCGACTTTGAGATCCAGCCCTGACATCACCGCGGCCATGCTCGGCAGCCGATTGGATGGTTTCTCCTGAGGTTGTTGAGCAGCATTCCGTCTGGCCGCATTGCGGTTGGCGACGCTGGGCGGCATATTGGTTGATAAATCCCAGCGGATGCTGGGACCAGACTTATGTTCCGGCTTATTTGAATGCTGCTGGTTGCTGGTGCCGTTGTTGTTGTCTCCCGGCTTTTCTTTGTCGCCTGACGCCAAGTCGGTGGATCGGGTGGGGGAGACTGATCCGTCGGATTGGACGGACCCTTTTCTCTGCGCAGAAGGCAAAGGGGGAGCGACAGAGGATGTAGTGGCGCGGGGAGTTGGGGGAGCGGTTGTTGCAGTGGCGGGCGATGGATTGAAGGTTGTCGCGGTAGTGGTAGTGGTAGTGGTAGCGGTAGCGGAAGAGCGACGAGGAGATGAAGGCAGTGGAGAATGAGAGGAAGAATAGAGTGAATGATGTCGGACTGAAGAGGGGGGAGTCACGCCAACGCCAATACCGGCGATGGAGCCATGCCGCGGGGGTAAGAAGCCGGGACTCGGTGAGATGTCCAGCAAGCTCCGGCGCCGAGACGTCGAGGGACTCTCGCCCATCTCCTCTAGCAACTCCCGTCGCTCTTCCTCCAGAGCGGTCTCCAGCGACATGTGGGCGGGCTTTCTGCTATAGTACGGCATGGTGGGCTGTGGGGTACGACCTCGCGCTTGTCTTTGGCTTTGCGCGGGCGGGTTCCAAACACTAACCCGTGGACTAAATTATTAATGTGAATCAAATGACGAACCCAGCTAGCTTCCCAGCCTTCTGCCAGTGCCCAGCTTTGGAATGTGGAGAGGAGGGGAAATGGTCATAAGCTTGCTGAGATTCCGAGCTTTGTCCCCAGGTCCTGTCCCGCCTTTAGAACCAGGTTCCTCTTTCTTTAAGGTTGCTGTTCCGTTGCAGGAGAGCTTTCTTACGTTGGATGCTTTATAGTTATAAGTATAGACCCAGCTGAGGTTCAGATAGGATCTTGAGGAGCACGCGACAATGATGGAGCTGGATGGAGACCGGAACTCCACGTGCGCAACGGCTGCAACTCAACGGCGATCCTCACTCAGTGCGTTTCTACCTCGGATGATACCGAAGAGAAGAGAGGAAGGCTGGCGTCTGGCCAGCAAGCCGACGGAGAGGAGACAAAGTAGCTCGGATGCCTCCGTGGACGGTGAACAAGTGTGAAGGGAAATGAAGAAGGATAGGGTAGCTTCACCCAGCTGTGTGGGGAGAGGATGAAGAAGAAGAAGAGGAGGAAGAAGGAGGAAGGCGAGACGACCAAGTTGGAACAAGCCAAGGCGTCCAAAAGCTCGGCATGGCGGGGTATCACGAACAATCAGCGAGCAGCTGGCTGATCCTTATAAAGCAACGAAGCACAATCAATCATGGTGACCCAGGTGGTGCAAGGTGCCACCAACCGGTGATGAGCATCCCTTGCATTGACCCTCCCCCAGGGCTTGATGCCGGCGATCATCCTGGGGAGGATCGGTTGGCTGGGAGAGTGTGTGCTGTTAGTCTCACACTTTCACTCCTGCCTGGATGCAGCTGGAATGCGAACCCATCGATTCTTCACCAATCGAGGTGGACCTGTGTACGCAGGATGCAGTAGACCGGCTGCTTAATTATGCTGGAGGTGAGGTGTTTGTTCCTTCAATCACGGCCGAAGCTGTCATGGTCACGTTCTCTCCTTTGCCCCCTTCAACACCTCCTTCCCAATTACTAGCGGTCAACAAGGTATATGACTGTTTTATTACTGGACACTCAATGGTACTAAAACACAGGATTCAAAAATCGAACCCCAGCTTGAAATAGGTTAAAGCAAAAAGCAAAAACAAAAGCAATGCACTCCCATGCCTGATTGCCAAATCACTCAATGTACCATGCCGCGAATGGATGTGTCCCTACATGACCTGAACTCCCCAACCCCAAAGACAGCACTAGTAGTGATAAAGAAAAAGAGAAAAATAACGCATGAAAGACAGTCCACCCAAAGATAACACACCTCACCCCTTGGTCCTCTGCCTCTTCTTCTCCCCACGCGCAGCCATTTCTTCGAATGCCGCTTCAGAAGGACTCGACTTCCGCTTCTTCCTCGTCTTCTTGACCTTGCTCGACCCCGGCCCCAGCGCATTAAGCTCACTATCCACGTTATACTTCTCCTCCAACCGATTGATGAGGCTGTCAAGACGGCCAAGGTTGCGCTGTTTAATCATCGCAGCCAAGTCACCCACGTCCTCGGGGCCATCCTCCTTCTTCCTCCCTCCCTTGTTCTTCCTACCCGTCTTAGACTTGTTCTCTTCCATCTCCTTGCTCACTTGTTCCGCCTCCTTCGCTTCCTTCTGTGCCCGCTTCAATCTGGCCTGACGCTTCTTGACCGGCTCCTCCGTGTATTTCTTGTACTTCTGGGCCCTTCCTTCCGCAATAGCCAAGTCAATGATGGCGCGGAATCGCTCATCATCATCAATGACATTACACAGCATCACAGAGTCGTAGATTTTATCCAGATCGCCCTGGTGGTTTTCATAGGCCTGCAGTATATCCTTGACCTCTTCCTCAGACCCCTGGTATTCCTTCTTGAGCTTGTCGATCGCATCGACATCAACAGCGGTGGCAAATTGCTCCCGGTAGAACTCCGTCCAGTCAAAATCCTCATCTTCGTCCAAGGCGTCCTCCGTGCTACCCGTCTTATCGAATCTCGCGCGGCGACGTTCATCAGAAAGGACGGCGTAAGCGAAGGCGATTTTCTGGAACTTGCTGTTCGCTTCTTCTTTCTTACTCGGGGGTGCCTTGTCTGTTACTGGTAGTTAGACAGCCCATCCCACACAAGTGATAGCTAGATAATAGATATAGTTAAGTATATATACGTACCAGGATGATGCTTCAGCGCCTTCTTCTTATAAGCAGCCCTGATCTGATCTTGAGTCGCCTGGTCATCGAGACCGAGAACCTCATACAAATCAAGGACTCTGCGCCGGGGTATGATTATTTCACCGTTTTCATCGCGTTCGACCGGTCCCCGCTTATACTCCTCTTCCTCTGAATAATACCCCTCTGGATCCTTCCCAACTTTCCATTTGTAGCGGTGGAGAGGGTTCGTGATAGGCATCTGGCCAAGAGACCAAAAAGGTCCAAGTAAGTGATGAGAAAAAGAGAAAATTGGGGGAGGATGCGTCTATTGAAAGCAAAAAAATCACAACAAGAAGTGATGAAAAGTAGCTGAGGTAGAAGACATAACACCTCGGCCGTGAATGTTCGCGCGCAACGCAATAAAATCAAACGAGACAAACACCCCAAAACGCGCGGGACGCGAATCCCACTTATCTTTCCTAAAGCAGTTTAGCCGCGACCAGCCGGCATCAATCGATAACCTAACTAACTATCAGATAGTATTCTATGCGGTCATACTCTTATTCCCCCCACTCATACTAACCTAGCTATCACATAAATAACTCTTCTTCCCCTTCTCTCTACACACAGCACATACACATACATACACATACACATTCTACAAAAATCCAAACACGACAACCATCACCAAAAATGGCCACAGACTCGGGAACCCCCAGCACCCCTCACCTCACCTACATGACCCAATGTCTCGCGCTCGCACGCAAAGCCCCCGCCCTCCCAACCAACTTCCGCGTCGGCGCTCTCCTCCTCAGCCGAAGCAAAGCCGACACCACCCCCAGCTACACCTCCGACATCCTGCTCTCAACCGGCTATACAATGGAACTAGCCGGCAACACGCACGCCGAACAATGCTGTCTATCAAACTACGCCTCCGTGCACGGCGTACCTGATGAGCAAGTGTACACTGTCCTCCCCCACGACGATCCTGAAAGGAAACTAGTCATGTATGTGACTATGGAACCCTGTGGGAAGAGACTCTCGGGCAATGCGCCGTGCGTGGAGAGGATCATTAAGACGAGACAGGGTGGGGAGGGACAGGGTATACAGAAGGTGTACTTTGGGGTGAAGGAGCCGGGCACGTTTGTGGGGCAGTCGGAGGGGGTGAGGAGGTTAGAGGAGGCGGGCGTGGAGTGGGAGGTTGTGCCCGGCTTGGAGAGGGAGATTTTGGAGGTGGCGGTTGAGGGTCATGAGAGGGAGAAGAGGGAGGAGGTGGTGGGGAGGGCGTTGGAGGGGGTGAAGACGGATTTGGATAATGTTAGTGAGGAGGAGAGGAGGAGGCAGGAGAGGCAGCCGAGGAATCCTATGAAGAGGATGATGGAGGGGGAGACCATGATGTGAATTTTTTCTTCTCTTTGTGGGGATTATTTGGTTGTATTGTAAGGTTGGGATGGGGTGGTGGGCGTGGGCGTGGGGGTTATGTTGATGCCGCTGGCGGTATTCTTGTCTTGTCTTGTCTGGGTTGGGGTATAGATGTGTATAGTGGGTGAAGGCTAAGGTGCGTAGTATTTATGGCTTAAGAGGTGATATGTACAAAGCCAGATACCTGATGAAGTTTGGAGGACTATTTACGAAACCAATATTTGAAAAGTGGATAGAATGGAGTATCATTGGCATGCTGGACATGCTTCTGTCCTTGAACCCTACTCCCTCACAGCACGAGGTAGTAGATCGGTATTATTGTGTCTAAAGTACCTGTCTAAGCTCCCTTCAGAGGATGACCGCTTGTTCTGTAATCGGTATCGGAGATAGCGACGGGACTGCTATCCCATATGGTCCATTCTTGCGGTGGTGCGCGGGTATCATGCCCTCCATGGTTCTATCCACAACTTAGGCAATATTGTCAGTCACACATCGACCAATCGATCAGCCCACCTGAACTCCCTCAAGACCTTCAAGGACCTCTTCACCAACACCCCCCTTCTGCAGGACCAGCTTGAGCATCTTTGCAATCGTGCGCCGCTTGACACCACCCCGTCGGGGTCTCCAAACGCCAGCAACCTCTTCGCCAGTAGACGGGTCCGTCATGGCGGCCTCTTCGGCAGCGGCCGTGGAGCCCAGAGTCGCCACGTTCTCCGAGTTCGATACACCCGGCTGCGTGAGACGAGACGGGGGGTCGACTGTGCGAATAGAAAGCAGTTTCAGGCCATCCGAGTCACTGTCCTGGGTGACAGAAACAGCCAGAACCGTATCCGCAACCGCAATCTCCTCTCTGTTAGGATCAAAGATGACATTATCGCCCACAGAAATAACAAGCAGCGTCACAGGAGGCCGGACCTGCTTCGTAGAAGAAAGACGAGGCCCCGACTGCGAGCGGGGGTATAGATATTCAGCGGCATTCCAATCATCATCGAAGAAGGGATCTTCCTCTCCCTTGGACTTGAGCTTAGGCAGCTTAGTCGACAAAAGAGCCAAATGAGTCGTCAAAGACAGCAACGGCAACGGATACGACAAAGGTTGAGACAGCAGCAGCACCTGCACAAACATCATTAGCACCATTCACCCCCTCCTACCCCCCCTCCCTTCGAAAGATCACTCACATCAATATACAACCTCCAATGCCACCTCTTATTAATAACCAACCTCCCCTTCAACCCACCCGCCATCTCATCCCCACCCAAACCATCACCAGCACCAGCAACCGACTCAACAAGCGGCTCGCGCATCATCTCCGACAAGAAAACCGGGAGGGCATCATCATCCCGAAACCCGGGGATCTCGATAGACATCTGCACCCACGACCCATGACCATGACTGGAGGTTTTCTGGCCCTCTCCGCCTTCGTTATCGGCATAATCTTCTTGCGTTTGCTGTTGCGATAGGTTCAGCGCTTCAGCTGCAACAACGGTCTTTTCCACCTCCGCTTTCACTCCCACAATGGCTTGCGTGCCGTCAGCGAACCCCACACGCGCGCTA